ATCTAAGACGCTCACGCACGCTTGCTGGAAGTCCAAGCCCCTTGCCCACAAAATCTCCTTTACCCCCTCTCTCCAACCCTTTCGAGGACGACCCCTACCTCGCCTTCCTTCCCCTATAGATTTATATGCTTTCCATGTCATTCTACTTTGATCCATTCTCTCTGAATGACCAAACCACCTCAACAACCCCTCTTCTGCCCTCTGACTAATACTTTTATTAACTCCACACCTTTTCCTAATTTCCACACTCCGAATTTTCTGCATAATATTTACACCACACATTGCCCTTAGACTGGACATCTCCACTAACTCCAACCGTCTCCTCGCTGCTGCATTTACCACCCAAGCTTCACACCGATATAAGAGTGTTGGTACTACTATACTTTCATACATTCCCTTCTTTGCCTCCATAGATAACGTTTTTTGACTCCACATATACCTCAATGCACCACTCACCTTTTTTCCCTCATCAATTCTATGTTTAAAACCTCATCCTTCATAATCCATCCGCCGACACGTCAACTCCCAAGTATCTGAAAACATTCACTTCTTCCATACTCCTCCTTCCCAATTTGATATCCAATTTTTCTTTTCTAAATCATTTGATACCCTCATCACCTTACTCTTTTCTATGTTCACTTTCAACTTCCTACCTTTACACACATTCCCAAACTCATGCACTAACCTTTGCGATTTTTCTTCAGAATCTCCCATAAGCACAGTATCATCAGCAAAAAGTAACTGTGTTAATTCCCATTTTGAATTTGATTCCCCATAATTTAATCCCACCCCTCTCCCGAACACCCTAGCATTTACTTCTTTTACAACCCCTTCTATAAATATATTAAACAACCATGGTGACATTACACATCCCTGTCTAAGACCTACTTTTACCGGGAAGTAGTCCCCCTCTCTTCTACACACCCTAACCTGAGCCTCACTATCCTCATAAAAACTCTTTACAGCATTTAGTAACTTACCACCTATTCCATATACTTGCAACATATGCCACATTGCTCCCCTATCCACGCTAGCATATGCCTTTTCTAAATCCATAAATGTAATATAAACTTCCCTACCTTTATCTAAATACTGTTCACATATACACATCCCCTACCCACTCTGAAACCTCCTTGCTCATCCGCAATCCTACATTCTGTCTTACCTCTAATTCTTTCAATTATAACCCTACCGTACACTTTTCCTGGTATACTCAATAAACTTATTCCTCTATAATTTTTACAATCTCTTTTGTCCCCTTTCCCTTTATATAAAGGGACTATACATGCTCTCTGCCAATCCCTAGGTACCTTCCCCTCTTTCATACATTTATTAAACAAAAGTATCAACCACTCCAACACTATATCCCCCCCTGCTTTTAACATTTCTGTCATGATCCCATCAGTTCCAGCTGCTTTACCCCCTTTCATTCTACGTAATGCCTCGCGTACCTCCCCCACACTTAGATTCTGCTCTTCTTCACTCCTAAAAGATGGTATACCTCCCTGACCAGTGCATGAAATTACCGCCTCCCTTTCTTCCTCAACATTTAAAAGTTCCTCAAAATATTCTCGCCATCTACCTAATACCTCCCTCTCCCCATCTACTAACTCCCCTACTCTGTTTTTAACTGACAAATCCATACTTTCCCTAGGCTTTCTTAACTTGTTTAACTCACTCCAAAATTTTTTCTTATTTTCATTAAAATTTCTTGACAGTGCCTCTCCTTTTGCACTCTCTCACCACTCTCTTCACCTTTCTTTTACTCTCCATATACTCTGCTCTTCTTATAACACTTCTGCTTTGTAAAAACCTCTCATAAGCTAACTTTTTCTCTTTTATCACACCCTTTACTTCATCATTCCACCAATCACTCCTCTTTCCACCTGCCCCCACCCTCCTATAACCACAAACTTCTGCCCCACATTCTAATACTGCATTTTTAAAACTATTCCAACCCTCTTCAACCCCCCCACTACTCATCTTTGCACTTGCCCACCTTTCTGCCAACAGTCGCTTATATCTCCCCCGAACTTCCTCCTCCCTTAGTTTATACACTTTCACCTCCCTTTTACTTGTTGTTGCCACCTTCCTCTTTTCCCATCTACCTCTTACTCTAACTGTAGCTACAACTAAATAATGATCCGATATATCAGTTGCCCCTCTATAAACATGTACATCCTGGAGCCTACCCATCAACCTTTTATCCAACAATACATAATCTAACAAACTACTTTCATTACGTGCTACATCGTACCTTGTATATTTATCCTCTTTTTCATAAAATATGTATTACTTATTACCAAATCTCTTTCTACACATAGCTCAATTAAAGGCTCCCCATTTACATTTACCCCTGGCACCCCAAATTTACCTACTACTCCCTCCATAACATAACATAATGTCACTTATAAATAAACAATGGTGGTCTATCTAAATTTCATGTTATGCTTTAGTACATAAAGTAACTTAAGAAAAATCAGAGGATGTGATATTAAACACAGAGATAATGAAACGAATATATAAAAATGTAACAAGATTTTCAAATCTAAGATGAAGCATTCAAGAAATGCTTTACAGGTTGAAATGAACAAAAATTTTTTATTTCTATCTGTACTGTGTCTATGATGTCTGTCTGTTCATGGACTATCCATCTTGAGAAGGGGTTGCCCACATGTGGTTTCTTCCCTAAATGTAATATTTAAAATGCACCAAAGCACTTATAGAAAATTTTCAGAGAAGCTGAAACACATTTAAAAGAATCTGACTTTTCCTATCATGTAAGTGAGCAAATACAACTTGGATGCACTAAGAAACAAGAGAATGTGGAAAGAATCAGAAAGGCCTTCACTTAGTACATACACTTGAAAGAGAATGAGAAACAAACCTTGAAGTCAGACAAATAAAGCAGAGAAAAAACACAATGGAAAATGTAATGTGCTTATTTTACTCTTTTGCTCTATTCACGTAGAACTACATCATTGAGACCAGGGTCCCTGATGTAGTTATTTATCACAAGCTCAGCTCACTCACATAAGCTGAGAATGGGTCTGTGCAGTGAATGCACCATATATAAAAAAAAATCCTGCCCCACGCAGTGCATTATGGGGAAAACAAAACTGTGACCGTCTGAATGGTTTAACCTTTTCACCATCCAAACCCCTGATCTGAAACTTTTCCAAATTGTCCAAGAATTTTCAAAAAAAATTTATATTTTCTTGTGAAATAGTTGAGAATCTTTTTCTGAAGATAATAAAACAAAAAGTACAAAGTTTGATAGAAAACTGATGAAATTTCACTTTCGTAAATTCTGCCCTGTCAGCAACATTTACCTATCGGCGATTTTGCCCACTTTGAGTCCTATTTTAGGTCAATTACATTGTTCCAGTCAACTAAATTCTTAGCAATTCTGCTGGTATGTCTTCCATTTTATCAAGTGAACACATGAAATCTCCCAGTCAGCTATTTCAACTACCCAACAAAGTGACCAGAAATTGTTAATTTGGCCAATTTCACACAAATTTCAAAATAGGGTCCAGTATAAGCAATGCAGGTATTCCTGGCACTAAGATAACATTTCCTCCATTCATCAGTTATATTCCCAGGATTTACACATGCAACAATGTAATAACTGCATAAATAATGTCAGCGCATTCGAGAACGCATATTAGACCCACCAGTTGGAAGTGACACGATTTGTTTACTCTTGAATATCGACAAAAATAGAACATTTATGATCCTTTGAGTTTAATTTCAAGCTACTTTCAGTCCTGAAACCAATCAAAATCACCTCTAATTCTGTAATGTATCTTCCATTCTATCAAATGATACCAAGAAACCAAGAATACAACCATAAAAAACAAAAATACACCGCAAAGTCACTGTTTTAAACCAAAAACATAATTGCAGTTTTTTCTCACTATGCACTGTGTGTTGTAGGATTTTTTTTTTATATGGTACACACTTACAACATATGTAGACCCATTCTCTCATATCTAGGCCCAAATTTACTGCTCACAGATTATCTGAGCTGAGCTGAGCTCATGCTGTAGTACTATGGAATGGCCAGTGACCTCAAAGTCTATACTATGGCACAGCCAGAGAAGTGGTTAAAATAGAAAATTAGCAGTGTTTTCTTGGATGATTTTTATGGTTTTAATGGCTGTTTCTTGGTAGTGTTTCATAGAATTGAAGACATATTACTATATTAGAGATGATTTTGATTTGTTTCAGGAATGGAAGTAGCTTGAAATTGAGCTCAAAGTAGCAAAAATATTTTATTTTTGCTGATATTCCAGAGGATGGAAAAAGCATCCCCTATAACTCCTGTTCTGTTTTATGGGTTTTAATAGGACTGATTGAATTATTGGGATGCTGTAAACCATAACTAATCTTTTCTGAGTTATATTTGATTATCTGTGAAATAGAGTAAATCTTCTATTTTGTGTGAATAAGAATTAAAAAATGGAAAGCAAGTGTAATATAGGAGAGGCCTGAAGACTTGATTAATGAACAGAGGAAATGTTGATTTAGTGCCAGGAATGTCTACATTGTTATGGACTATTTTTAATTTGTGTGAAATTGGGCAAATTACCAAATTTTGATCACTTTATAGGGGTAGATGTAATAGCTGGATGGGCAGTTTCTTGTGCTCAATCAATAGAATGGAAGGCTTACTAATAAATTAGCTAAGAATTTGGTCTACAGGAACAATGGAATTGGCTTAAAATAGGACAAAGCTGGCAAATCGCTGATGCATAAACTGCACCGAGACTGCTAACTTTGTGCTTGCACAATTCCAAAAGTTCTCCATCAAATTTTGTACTTTTCATATCATTACCTTCAGAAAAGATTATCATTTCAGAAGAAAATTAGGGAAATATGGTTACATGGACCTCTAATGTAGTTACTAAACCATGCACTAATATTATTATTATTATTATTACTTCACATAAAAACTATTTAAATCTGAGGTACAAAACCAACAAGTCATGACAAACCTGAGCTTTTATTGCGTACATTCCTTGTAGGCGTTCCACTTTGTCAAGAAGAGACTGAAATTCTTCAAGGCCTTGTCTAATTTCATCCACAGACCAATTTTCAACTCCTGGGATTGGGTCCTCATATCCTGATTCATTTTCCCCTGTTTGTTGCTGCACTTGTTGCTCCTCCTGATTCCGCATATTTTGTTGCTGCTTCTTGAGATTTTCTAATCGCTCACGAGTAGCCTGAACATAAAATCATGTGTGACCAACACGAAACAAAGACAATGTATATTTTAGGAATAATTGATATTAAATATAAAAAATTCACAGTAGAATTTATGTTAGCATATACATATAATGCAATGCAATTTATAAGGGTAAATACAGCAACTGTGGCCTAGAGCATTTCACACGTTGTTCCATCCAGACAACAGCACCTTACCTTCCCTTCAGCATCTCCCTCTTCCATCGCTATCACCCACACCACACCCTCAGTAGCTCGAATGAACAGTCGTGTGCATCGCATCACTGACCTTGTATTTATCAAATGTTTTCGGAAACTGCATTAACATCAACCCCTGTGGTCTTCACGTTATTAACCATGTCACCCACGGAAGTGCAAAAATCAAGAATAAATCTATGAAGTAAAACAAATTAAAAGTACTGGATATGCTTTGAAGTGCTTTAGTGGTATGTGGCACAAACATGTAGTGAACAAAAAAAAAAGATTCATAAACTCAGAAACATGAATCTAAATGATAAGGTGAAGCCAGTGCTTGAGATAGACTATGACTCAAAAGAGAGTATAGGGGTTCCGTGAAGTTGAAAAAGAGTGAGAAACTAAGTAATTATCTGTCCTGTACTTGCAACAAGAAATGAATTTTTCGACCCTCAAAGACCAGCATATGGTCCTTCTTCCCCACTGACTGCCCATTTAACCAGGCTGTTATGTTTGAAAGCCCACTGGCTTGCATAGACATCACCGCCTGGTTGATCTGACACTTAGTAGAAGTGGTGCTCAGTTTATTCCTGAAGCCTTCTATAATTGTCCTGGAAAAATTTCCTATATCTGCTGGTAGTAGGCTGAAGAGTCTTGGATCACGGATGTTGACACAGTGTTTTATCATTCTGCCTATGATGCCCCTGCTCTTCACTACGATTATTATACACTTCTTCCCATATTTCTCATTTCAATAAGTTGTTATGGTAGCATTTAGGTTTAGGGCAAAGCTTTGAAGTATCTCCCATGTACTCTATATATTGTCACATATTTCTCTCTGCTTCAGAGAGAACCTACCAAGTTCAATAATTTATTTTTTTTTTTTATTGGCTCTATGCAGACAGTAAACAATATGTAAAGAAGAGTTCTACTCTTAGTGGCAATATGATAAATTACAATGTTTTTAAACTCTGTATGCAGGCAGGTGTTCCTTCACAGGATTGTAAATTTAATGCTGAGTGCTCCAAAAAATTCAAGAAGTGCAACAAGCTTCACAATACAAAATTTTCTGGCAGGAATGATTCATCTGCGGATTGCCCTTCCGTATGATTATTGTGAAGTAAAAGGACACAAGTGCAACTAATGTGACATTTTATTGTGGCAACGTTTCACTCTCCAGGAGCTTTGTCAAGTCATTACAAACAGTACATGGACACAGAGGGTATATATAGACTCAGAGTGAGGTGCAAAACTAGTGGTAGCAGTAGTAGTAGTGATATAAGTTGTACTAGTAGTAGAAATACAATATGGTAGAACAATTAACTCTCACATGAGTAAAAGGATATAAAAGCTATTACTTGGGTAACATAAAAATAGGTTAGACAAATATTTCTATTGGAGACTTGATAGAGAAGGCTTGTTTCAGTGTTCATTCTCTGTAATGTGCTTAGTGTAGTATTAATAGGAGAGACTATGTGATGGCAGGGTTTACTGTTTTCAGGAGGATTCTTGCTAAGACTTCAGAGATGGTGAAGCTGCCTTTATTTTGTTTAATTGTATTCGAAACAGCAATTAGTGCTGATTCAAGGCACTTGCATCTGCGGAAATTAGTTTCTTTGATCACTAATTGGGCGTCCCTGAATTTCATGAGATGATTGGTGGAATTTCGGTGTTGTACACAGGTGTTGTTCAAGTCATCGTTCCTAAATGCGTAAATGTGTTCATTGAGGCGGGTGTCGAGGTTTCTTGCTGTTTCACCTACATAAATCTTGTCGCAGCCTCCACAGGGTATAGTGTAAACCCCTGCATTGACTGGTTCGTGGTGCTTTGATTTTGTCCTGGTTAGATCTTTTATAGAAGTGCTGGAAGTGATGGCGACTCTGGTGCTAGCTTGTGAAAGTACTTTAGAAATGTTCAGTGCAACCTGGCTGTTGGGAAGAATTATAACTTTGTTGGGAGTGGTGTTGGTGCATGGAGAATTAATGATCGGAAGAGCTCTTTTCTTGCAGTCTGTGATGAAAAATGAAGGAAAATGTAACTCAGTGAAGGTTTGGTGAATGTATGTACATTCCTCGTCAAGAAACTCAGGACTACAAATTCGGTATGATGATGCCTCTTTTGGTCTTAGTATCTTGACTGGAATAGAAGTGTGTGAGATCATTTTCCTTGGCAGGTTTCTGATAAACTTGAAATCTTAGGCTGTTGTCTACTTTGTGGATGAAGACGTCTAGGAAAGGTAGCTTGTCGTTGGACTCTTCTTTTAGTGTAAACTGGATCGCCAGTTCAACTGCGTCGAGACTTGCCTGAAGATTCCGTACATCAAAATGTTTGGGAGTTATTACGAGGACGTCGTCCACGTAATGTAACCAAGTGACGCTTGAAGGGATGATGTTGGTGAAGTGTTCGGACTCTAGAACTCTAGTTCCTTTGATCACTAACTGGGCATCAGGGACGCCCAATTAGTGATCAAAGAAATTAATTTCCGCAGATGCAAGTGGCTTGAATCAGCACTAATCGCTGTTTCAAATACAATTAAACAAAATAAAGGCAGCTTCACCATCTCTGAAGTCTTAGCAAGAATCCTCCTGAAAACAGTAAACCCTGCCATCACATAGTCTCTCCTGTTAATACTACACTAAGCATATTACAGAGAATGAACACTGAAACAGGCCTTCTCTATCCAGTCTCCAATAGAAATATTCGTCTAACCTATTTTTATGTTACCCAAGTACATGTAATAGCTTTTATATCCTTTTACTCATGTGAGAGTTAACTGTTCTACCGTATTATATTACTACTACAACTTATATCACTACCACTAGTTTTGCACCTTACTCTGAGCTATATATACCCTCTGTGTCCATGTACTGTTTGTAACGGCTTGACAAAGCTCATGGAGAGCGAAACGTTGCCACAATAAAATGTCACATTAGTTGCACTTGTGTCCTTTTACTTTACATATTGTTGGCAATTCTACCAACATTATTACAATCTGTATGATTATTAACCCTTTGACTGTCGCAGCCGTATATATACGTCTTACGAGGTACCGTGTTTGACGTATATATACTCATAAATTCTAGCGGCTTCAAATCAAGCAGGAGAAAGCTGGTAGGCCCACATGTGAGAGAATGGGTCTGTGTGGTCAGTGTGCACCATATAAAAAAAATCCTGGAGCACACAGTGCATAATGAGAAAAAAAAAAACTCCGACCGTTTTTTTTTAATTAAAATGCCGACTTTGTGGTCTATTTTCGTATAGTATTTATGGTTGTATTCTCGTTTTCTTGGTCTCATTTGATAGAATGGAAAACATATTATAGAAATAGAGGTGATTTTGATTGATTTTACTATAAAAAGAACCTAGAAATGGAGCTCAAAGTAGAGGAAATGTTTGATTTTTGCCAACGTTCAAAAGTAAACAAATGATGCCATTGTCCAATAAATGTCCAACTAGCCATTCTAATATGCAGTCATGAATGGATTGATGTTATTTAAACAATTATTACAGTATTGGAGTAGTCTGCGTAATAGTAAGTCTTCTATTTTTTGTTTGAATAAAAATTCAAAATAGAAAGCAAGAGTAACATCAGAGGGGCCTGGAGACATGACTGATGAGCAAAGAAAATGTTATTTTAGAGCCAGGAATGTCTGCATTGTTCATTCTGGACCTTATTTTGAAATTGTCATATTTTTTAGTTTTCGTGAAATTGGCCAAATTGCAAATTTCTGACCACATTATTAGGTAGTTGAAATCGGTAAATGGGCAGTTTCTTGTACTCAATCGATAGAAAAAATGGAGTTCTAAAGAAATAGCTATGAGTTTGGGCAACTGGAACAATGGAATTAGCCAAAAATAGGGCTCAAAGTGCGCGAAATCGCCGATTTGTAAACAGCGCCGAGGTCGCTAACTTCGCGAGAGCATAATTCCGTCAGTTTTCCATCAAATTTCGTTTTTTTGGTGTCATTACAATCGGGGAAAAGATTCTCTACCATTTCATAAGAAAAAATATATTTTTTTTTTTTTAAATTTTGCGACACCAGGAGACACCTCAGGATTGGGGGTTGCGACAGTCAAAGGGTTAAAGACTATACATGTACTTACAACCCTCATGAAATAATTATCTTAGAAGTGAATGCAATAAAAAAAATCATCAATAAGCAGGAGTGAATTACACCTGGGATCAAGGTGGCAGCTTAAGATCATTTTGCATTGCTTCTCTACTCCAACAGTGGTAAATTTTTAAAGTGTAAACTGAAGTTGATTTACTGATCACAGAATCCTCATACCTTACACAGTATGAAAGTTAATATCCTTTGACTGGCATCTAATGAAAGTCAATGATGGTGCCAGGATTTGGGATTCCAATCAAACTTAACCCTTAAACTGTCCAAAAGTAGATCTACATTCACGTGCGTAGCGCTCCTACCTTGATTTTCCCCATTTGAAATCATGTAAAGAAAAACGTAGTTCTACGTTCGGAGCCTGCCGCACATCAACGTATATCTATGTTTGGACAGTTTAAGGGTTAATACTTAACCCTTTCAGGGTTGGTGCCGTACTAGTACGACTTGCACGCCAGGCCTACATATGAAAGAATGGGTCTATGTGGTCAGGGTGCGCAGTATAAAAAAAATCCTGCACCACACAGTGTATAATGAGAAAAAAAAAAACTCCGACCGTGTTTTTGGTTTAAAACAGCAACTTTGCAGTGTATTTTCGTATGCTATTTATGGTTGTATTCTAGTTTTCTTGGTCTCATTTTATAGAATGGAAAACATATTATGGAAATTGAGATGATTTT